AAAAAAGGGAAATCAAAAGCCGTTGTTTTTCAAGGTCCAAAACCAGACCCCGTTCCCCAAAACAGAGGGTTTGATTCAAATATGTGCAAAGGAAAAAAACGCGGAGAGAAAGGACCGATCGAGGTGTAGGGGAAGTGACCGAAAAGCAGAATCAAGGAAGAAAAGGAACTCCAGGCATTCCTCCAATGGTAGATGCACAATGGAGAGATAGAGCCGAACACACTTAAGCGACGGCAGTAGTAGGAGCCGCAGCAGGGACAGTGTTAGCCTCAGTGGCAGCCTCAGTGGCGACGACAGCAGGGGCAGCCGCCACGGCGGGGGCAGCGGCAACGGGGGCAGCCTCAGTGGCAGCAACGGGAGCAGCGGCACCCTCGTTAGTAGGGCAGTCGCGGGAGATGTGGCCAGCCTGGGCGCACTTGTAGCAGACCTTGCCGGCGGAGCTGAGGGGGCCACCGTTGGGAGCGGTGCAGTCACGCGAGATGTGGCCAAGCTTGCCACAGGCGTAGCACTTCATGGCCTGAGCTTGGCAGTCGCGGGCGAAGTGGTTAGGACCACCGCACTTGTAGCAGGTCGCGGCGCGGGGGTAGCCGCTGAATCCACCGCGGAATCCACCTTGGAAACCACCGCGAGCACCACCGGAACCGCGGCCAGCGGCGGGACCGGTAGGGGGAGCACCGGCTCTGGGAGCAGTGGGATTGGTGCAGCTGCGCTGGAGTGGGGTAAGTAACTGGCTCGAAGGCTCAAGACCTGGGCTTGGGAGTTGGAACTTACGGCAAGGTGACCGGGCTGGCTGCAGTTGTAGCAGCGGCCGTTGGCACCCCCATTCAGACGCAGGGTGGGGCAGTCAGCCTGGACGTGACCGAGACCCTGGCAGTTGTAGCATTGCTTGGCTGGATGGTATTAGCAATCTGATATGGCCGGAGGCAGATTGAGTGATCGCTTACTCTCGGTGGTACGGGGCAGAGGGCAGGCGCTCGACTCGTGGCCTGTTTGAAAAACCTTAGAAGCTTGTTTTGAATCATGTTGACTCATGATCGAACATACCGGGCTGCTTGCCTATGAGATGAGATACATTAGCAACCAGTAAGACAAAGACTTGACCTCTCGGGGATATATTCACGTACAGTTGTAGCAAAGACGCTCAGTGGAAGAGCAGACCTCTGCCGAGGAATCAGTTTTACCCCAGATATACGAAGCTTCCAGCTATACTAACCAGCATAGTGGCCAATGGTGCCACATTTGTAGCATGCGCGACGAGACAACATCATTCTGGCGGTAATCTATCCATCGTGAGTCAGCCCGATGCCGGGTTTATTTGGACAATTCCGTCGATAAGCAGCGTCTTCCCCTCCGTCGGAATTGTCGAACTGTGTGATGATGATGCGTCGCTTGGTCTTGTTTTGACTTCAATTCCCGGACATATTGTATCCAACGTTGTCCAAGTCCAGCAGAATCGCATCAATTGCGATCCCCAAAACTTCAGGCGAAAAGAGGGGAAGACGTAGATCGGCGGGGGAGAGCACGAGCTCGAACGGCGAAAGACAAAACCGTCATATAGTTCACTCACCCTCACAGTAACTCTCTTCAAACCCTTGTCAAAAGTCTATAATACCCCTTTGGTCAGCTTTTTGAGAACCCTTGGAGAAAAGTAGGCACGTTTCTGACAGCCTACTCGAAGAAAAAAAGTGGGACATCAGAGGGAACCACACAGAAAAAAAAAAAAAAGCAAAAAAATATCAGACAAAAAGAAGACTAAAAAGTAACTCACACTCTCAACAACTTCAAGAACCTCTCTCTCAACTCCAACTTCTTTTCCTTCAAAAAAAAAACGAGAATGCACACAAAGAAGAGAGGAAAAGTGGAAAAAAGACAAACTCGTCAAACGGCTTTAGCTCCCGGGCTTTTCCGTATTGCGTAAGGCGTTTACTTTCAATACTAGCCCTGGAAGGGATGCTTGGATCTTCTAGTCTACAATTTTTTTTGTTATGAATTCTACAATCTATTCTATCAGTGATGGATTTGTGATTATGATGGGAAGACAAATACCGTATCCCTACATTCCTACAGATCAATTCTTCCCCAAAAGAAAGTCACAATGCAATTCATCTCTTCGTTCCAAATGAGATCTCCGCGAGATCCGACTGGTTAGATCCCATCTAATCTACTCTTCCCGCTCTAGGATGGCCGGTGCTTTAATTTCCCGTCCCTTGAGGAATTCCAGGTTTTCACCAGCCTGAGATGTAGGTTAGTTGAGTAGTCAAAAAGATAAGAGAAAGAGACATACGTAGCTGATCAGAGGAGAAACTTCAACACCAACCGCTTCGCCATCAGTAATAACAATACCACCAGCAGCCTCAACCCACCGCTGACCTTGGGCCATGATGTCTGCACGGCTGGTATCAGGGTCGTCCTCACCAGTGCCGCGAGCGTTCTTCAACGGGGAGAACTCGTCGTGACGGTGCACCTCAAGGGTGGCGAACTTCTCCAGGGGTGTCATGGGGAACACGTCGAAGACGAACTGCTCCAGCTTGATGCCGTTAGGCTTCTCGGGCTTGACAAGATTACCAGTTTCGGTATTGACACAGGCAATCTTCTTGCGCGCCACGTGGTGGGGCAGCTGGTGCGCCCAGTTCTCGATGGACTCGAGGAATTGGAAGGAGTAGTAGTGGTTGACAATGTTGGCGGCGCGGTACTTGAGGACGTCGGGCTGTTTGGGGTCCTTGGCCTCGGCGGTCTCCTTATCAATCTCCGAGTACTCGACCACGTCGGGCTTGCCGTTCTTCAACAAGATCAGGCCCACGGACTCGGTAGCGTTGCGCTTGCGCACCACCTTGGTTGCGATGTCAACGTTCTTGGAGGCTGAAAAGCCAATGAAGACCGGGTCGGCCACCTTGACGAGGCAGTTATCCACTCCGTAGAGGTGAATGTGCTCGATACCACGACGGCGCATGTCCTCCCGCACACCGGAGACCACGAGGGCCTGGTAGATGCCGCCATTTCCGTCAGGAGCCACAGCGGCCTACATATTTAGGGTCAACAAATCTCCCCTGACACGTTTTTGAGCTACACCCGCATGTTACATACCTTGCCCTTGGTCTCGAGCAGAATCTTGCCGTCGTTGGAGATACATGGAAGAACACCCTGCTCGAAGATCATAACATTGCTCTTGTCGAGACCAAAGTAGTTGTTCTTCTCGAAGAACTCCTCCGTGGGTTTGCGGGTAGGCCCACTGGTCATGATGTACCAGGGGATGACCACGTTCTGACCACCGATGAGAGACTGCAGCTTGAGGATACGCTGAGCCTGCAATTGGAATAGCGACTTCTCGCTCAACAGACCAATGTCGAAGCAGCCCTTGGGGGCAGAACTGCCGAGTCGGGTACCCTGTCCACCAGCCATCAAGACCACGGCCACCTTGTTCGCAGCCACCTCCTTTAGGCCGACTTCGTACCATCTCTGGATATCTGAGGGGTCAGAGTCGAGGATGGAGGCAGAGGCGACTTCGGGGAAGGGCTCGAGGGTCACGGCCCCCTGCTCGGCGGGTGGAGGGTTGAGAGCCTTGTCAGCCAGCTCGTTGATCCGAGCGGGGTCAAAGTTGGACAGCTGGTGGAAGAGCTGTGACTTCTCGACGGTGGTCAATTCCTCGACGAAAGCGAAGACATGTCCTTGTCCAGCATCTGTGTATTTTTTTTGTAGTGCCTGGAACTCCTCCACTGAGGGTTCACGAGGAACCTCTGGAGTGGTGCCCTGGAGCTTTCCAAGAACATTGGAGACAGTATCTTTGATTACGCCTGCCATTTTGGTGGATAATTTGGAGATGATCGAGAGACGAAAAGGGAGATGAATTGGGAGGAAGCAAAGGTAAGAGAGGAAGAAGAGTAATTAAAAATCAAAAACGTGGGGTGAAGCTCCAAGCTGATTAAGTACCTTGAGTTGCACCTCAAAATCCATGCCACCACACGGTGAAAATGCTCCAGTTGGCTAATCCATCTCGGACTACGAGCACCTAGTGGGCTCCTATTTATTTTTAGGGATCTGCAGAGGCGAATAATAACGAGCTGTCCATAAAAAGTGGCTAGCGCTGAGTGAGACCTGCCCACTGGAAGTTATGCCACTGGTCCAAGCGGGGCCTTGGCTTGTTGCTACGGTAAGGGGGCGAAGTGTGGATATGTTCAGAGCACGTCTTTAGTTTGGAGAATAGGGGATCTTTGAATACTATCGTCGTTCACGGTTCTCGTAACGGCCTCTTTCTCTCCGTGAATCTCCTCGTGAATCCCGTTGTGGGCTCCGGCTATAGGATCGACGGCGGTATCGATCCCGTCCATCTCGACGGGGGCTTCGACTCCCTCGATCTCGACGAACGCGAGTCCGATCTGACGGAGCGCCCCTTTTCTTATTTTTGTCGAACATCATCCGGTACCTAGCATCATCCTGATCGAGAGGCGCGTCGTCCAGCTCTCGGTACTGACGCTTCGCTTCAAGATCTGCAACACCACCAAATCCACCTCGCTCTCGGCGTTTGGTAACGGTAGAATTGCGCCAGCTTTCGGATAACTTGGATACCTGGGATGGATTAACATATAGGTCTCGGCAATCGTGATGAGAGGCTCAGGGGCTCTTACACTTTGTGAAAAATCCACATGTATTCGGTGGTCATCGATCAAGACACCCTGCATTTTGAAATAAGCCTGTTCACAGTCCTTCTGTTCTTCGAATTCAATAAAGGCATATTGTAGACTGTCACCGGTGCGCTTGTCCCGAATGACCTCACAAGACAAGATCGTCCCAAAGCGACTGAAAATAAGATTCAGATCCTCATCTAGCATTGGTTAGCATAATCTTACAGTTCCGTAGAGGAAGGCGACAAACCCTGTGTGACCGGATTGAGCTTGCAAACAAAAAGAATATTCTCTGGCGGCTTGACATCGGCGAATGGCAGATCTCCCACCATTTCCAATGTCAGCGCTTGCGCACGAGCCTCGCGCTCGCGACGTAGCTTATCCATAGCCTCTTCATCCATATCATCATCCAAGTCCTCATCGTCTGCGATTCTGACCGTGGCCAATTGGGCTTTGGAGGGCACCGGGCTTTCAGGCGGTTCAACCAGATTCGGCGGGTCATCGAAGGGGTCATCAAGGACAGTGGTGTGACGAATACGAATATCCTTCAGCGGTCGACCTCGGTCGTCAATAAAAGATTCATTGATTTTCTCCAGGACCTCGAAGCCCTCGACGACCTTGCCAAAAATCACGGCCTTGCCATCTAAATAATCTAGATTCTCTCCAAGTGTAATGATGAATTGACTGGCGGCTATCCGTTGATCGGGGTCATTCTTAGCCGGTACCGTCGCCATACTCACCGTGCCGCGTTCCAAGTGTTTCAACTTGCGCGACACCTGGAGAGGAAAGGTTCTTTTGGACGGTCCGTCCAGCAGACCCCAAACTGACGATCCACCATCACTTTCAGGTGCATCAGGGCCGAGCGGGTCGCCGGTCTGGAAGGTGAAATTCTTTTGGACGCTGTGGATGGGTGAGAAATTGTAGTACTTGAGCTTGCATAGCTTCAAGAAGCTAAAAGCACACCCAATAAGCTTAGTTTCAGATTTCAGCAGACTGTAAAAGCCAACGAATGGAGCCACTTACTTGTCACACGCCTTGGGTGCATCATCGACCAACAGGTCAATTACAATATCGCCCAGGGAGGTCTCTAAAAGCACGCTCATGGCGGGGAATCGGGTACGTGACACCGAATTAAGCGCTTGGTCGATAAAATTGGACACCCCCTAATTTTGATACTAAATTAGAGGTCGGTAGAGACAGACAGGTAGAGAGAGAAAGAGAGAGACAGAGACAGCTGAAAATGAAAGTCTGGGAGATGCGAAATGCACGAGAAGATCACCGGAGCTTCGACCAATCACCGCCCGCGGGGATCCCCAACCGGAGGGAACTGAGCCTCTGTGTTTCTGTTCTTTTATTTTTACTTCCTTTTCTTTTTTTTTTTCTTCCATTCTCCCTATTTTTTTACACACCAGATTTCCCACGAATCTACCGATGGGTGCGTGCTGCGCAACAGCTCTAGGGCTCTCCGGATGATCGACCCGGGAGACTTGTGCAACGGCGTTTGTCAATCAAGCTGCATATCTTCCGAATGTCCCCGTTGGATATTATGGACAGAACCTTACGCTTTTGAGATCGACGTGCAGCGGATCTTATTTAGGGCCTTGATCGACCCTGGGATTCCAAGTTTGAGCTGTTTGTGTGCTTATATCCCTCATGCAGCAGCAGGCCCAGCCAAAAGAAGCATCATTTCTTGACAGAAGTTTGAGAGTGACTGTCACTGGATGCCAAATCCTGGGAGAGACCAAGCCACACCCTGTTGTACTGTTTCGCCTTCTATCTCTTTCCCCACTAAGATCATGGCAACGTCTCGCAGCTTTGACGGGGAGGTACACGGTCCCCCTTTGCTAGGACAGTACCATCTTCCCCCGTGAGCTGTTCCACAACAGAAACGTTGGGAAGGGGTAACGGCCGGCCTCCTGCAGCACGATTCAACGGGTTATCATCATCACATACTAGCTTTGTTTTTTTTTTTTTGAAAAAGAGCCACACACGTGGAATGGGATATGATCAATCCTGAGCGAACCTTCCTCTCTTGCCTTCTCGATTCCAGCCGGTCATCAGCCAGGGGTTGCCTCCACCGTATCGTCTGCAACGAAAGCCAGTCTCAATCCCAACATGTGTTCCTGGCGAGTCAACTCAGAGTCAGCCGGCGTAGCCAGGGTTTGTTTCTCCTGACTCTTGAATCGCAATTCTCTCTTCCCCCCCCCCCGGATGTCGTGCATAGTCAACCCTTGAACTGCCGTCACTTGTCTAAAGACCTGCTAGAGACTGCATAGGAGTCTAGATCTGTCTTTGAAACCCTGCCTCTGATTGCCTTCCCCACCGGATTTGGATTTTCCATGTCTCTCGTGTCCTGACACTGGATGTCTTTCGGTGCACGATGAGTTGGAAGGGGAATTATGATACTACCTAGGTAATCTTGGAGAACTCCTTCTTCTTTGGCCCATGTCAAACCGTAACCCCAAACCCACTTCTCTCCACATTAGCTCCCAGTAGCAATCTGTGAACCCTGGAAGTATCCCAGAAGTTCACGCATCCTAGTCGGCACTTCTAGATTCCCCCTTTCTAGTCTCTTAGCGTCGATCGATGATCAAGATCTGGTGGATGTCCCACAAGTGCTCCCACATACTGGCTGAGTACTATATCTCCCTTCCTCATTTAATGGACCTGATTTGCTTTTTCCCCCTTTCCAATTCGATCTAGTTACCAGAAGCGCTCATGAACACTAGGATCGACCCTCCCCAAGTCCTTCTTTGTAGATCGTTGATCCCTGGCTTTTTCTAGCGCGCTTGACTCGGGGAAGCCAAGTCGTGCGCTTGTCAAAATGACAGGTGCCATGAGAGAGTTTAGTCCTATATTTTCTTTTTCTCTTCTCTTTCTCTGTTGAGACATTTGAAGCAACCTGAGACAGGCGTTTGTTTCCCCCCTCCCCTATTTCTCTTCTCTTACCGTTTGCAAGATAGAGTATAATGTTCCAGGCCTCGAAGTTCCGACTATTTTGACCTGCAGATCTATTGAGCAAACATTTCCGGACCTCGGGTTATACTCCGCGGTGTCTCTGCAAACAGTACGGCAGTTGCCCGTTTTCTACCCCCAGTGCTGGATCTCTGAAAGGAAAAAAAGGAAGCCCTTCAAATTGGCTGAAACACTACCGGACTTTGTTCTCGTCTGTGTGACGTTACCTCGTGAAACCTCTTTTCAAAACGGACATCTTTCGGTATCCAACTGGCAACTGAGGGAATCCGGAACTTTGCAGATCAGTTTTTTTCCAATGGGGGAAAAAAAAGAAAAGACAAATACGAAACACTGAGAAGATAGGAAATAAGAAATTGAAAGAAAAAAAAATAAAAAAAAAAACCAAGAAACCAGGTCCAGGGTACTTTTGGTCTATGTACTGTGTATGTCTTCTCTCTCTACTTGGATCTAAACACGCATATAGCGAAGAAGAATACACAGAGGAAAAATTAAAAAAGGGGGCAAAAATCACATCGATATATTTTAGATAATTTTATAAATATCCAAAAAAAAAGGAAAGGCAATCACACCGATTGTTAGCAAAACATGGCTTAAAATCTAGCCCTATTTCCCAGAGGCATCTCTTTCGTTTTCTACTTACATTCCTCTTATGAACAGTGGCTTGAAGGCATTCACAGGAAACGTTACTTTTGGATCTTTTCTACGTTGCTGAATCGTGCAACAGGTGATTGCTCTCAACATGGATCACACATACGACAATATGTCTGGACTAGACCAAGCCCAACGTAACTCGACCATCTCGATGGCTCGATCAATGCGTGTGGCAAAGCAGGAGCGAAGTCTCGTTGTAGAGCGAGATGAAAAGCCACGGAAACAGAGGAAGCGAGCTCTAGTCGCAGTAAGGACTCTCTCCAGCTTGATTCTCCGGGGATTGCTAACATCTATCAGTGCAACCGGTGCCGGAAGAGGAAAATCAAGTGCAACGGGGATCTCAACACTGGTCTGGCTTGCTCCAGTTGCCGTAGTGTTGGAGCTACCGAATGCCAGTACATCAGAGTAAGCCCGAGTCCACAAGATCCACGGCGAAAGAGTCCCACTGACGTGGTTCGTTTTTCCTCTCCAGGTCAACTCTTTGGCCCCCGAAGACGCTGCCAGAGAAGCAGCGAGACTCTATGCAACCAAGAGTCAGGGAAGATCCATCCTCATGGGCTCCCCTCAAATGCGGGCTCCCTACCAGCGAGACGAGTATGAACTGGAGATCCAGTCCAACTTCTCACGGCATCCCGTCGGCATGGATCACTCCTATGATGACCAGTCAGCCAACTACCACGGCCAGACATCACCCGGGTATATGATGTCCAGCAATTTGGGAGCAGTGCTCGACTATGGCACCGCGTGGGGTAACCGCGCCTGGGATCTTACCGGCAGAACCACAAACGGCGAATTCTTCGAAGAACATAGCAACCTGAACCAAGCTGCATACAGCTTTGTCCTTCCCGGCCAAGGCATGTCCGCCGGAATGCCTCAGTCAACAGGAGCCATGACGACCTACACAGACGCCGTAGACCGCACCCTCCCAACACCCCCAACCTGTCGAAGCCAGCCCCAATCAAACATCACCCTCTCAACTCTCCCCGACGGCCTCTCGGGTATGACCCTAGCCGCTGATCCCAAGGGCTGGAACTCGCGGTACGCAACAATCCCAGATGGCCGCCCAGTCGTCATGCCCGCCGTCCCCAGCAATGGTCTCTACAACATTAGCCCCTCCTCACGCATCAAGTCCAACGACTTGGAAGACGGAACATCCGACCTTGTCTTCGGGTACATCCCCATGTCTACATCCGAAGACCCCTCCCCGCTCCCCGCAGCCTCGTCCTCATCATCCATGGCCTCCTCTGCTACCAACCCCCTTTACCCAGCTCTGGACCCGATAGAGAACACTCTCGTGGGCGAGTACCACACAGCAAATGCACGTCTAGGACGTACGTTTTTGCGCGATACCAACGCCGGGCAGCGTCTGCTCGCGCTGACTTCTGACTGCGCGCCCGATGTGTATTCGCATGCGGGCAATGAGCGCCGGAAGTCTAGGGGTGTTGTTGAGAGTGAGGTGCGCTGCTCGACGCCGACGCTTGTGAATGGGTTGCCCTACACGCGTGTTCGACATGTCGACTCGACGGTTGCTCTGCCGTATGGTTTTTTGGCTGATGGTTTGTCGGATTATGGGCGGTCGGTTGATCATCTCCATCGCTCGCCTGTTTCGCCTTTGGGTCATCAGGGGGCGTATTGAATTGACTTCAAGATGGCTTGGTGTCGCATGGAACATACCCTGTTCTCATTTCTCTTTCCTGGTCGGTCTCTTGCTTGGTTTCTTTTTTTCCCCACAGGATACACAAAAGAGATACCCACATCAAGGCTGTTTACATTTGCCTTTATTCTGCCTTTGTTCTGCCTTTGTTCTGCCTTTGTTCTGCCCATGTATTGTCTTTCTTATGTCAGTTTTGGTTTTTTAGGGGGGTTCGTCGCTTTGGTTAGTTGGTGTTTATTCTGTTCTGTTCTGATTGTATTGCTCGTTCATCCATGTCTGTCTGCTTATATTCATCCAAAAGAAATGACACCCAAGGGACGTTGATGCGGTGCCCATCCTGTCACATCCGTCCTAGATTACTCCCTCCTACCCCAGAGTGGCAGTGATTTAAATCTGTGTGGCTCTATGTCTGTTTCCAAAATCCTGCGTTTTTTTGGTTTTTTTTTTCACGCCATCTGTCTTTAGTCTTTGGTGGAATGTCTTATTTCTCTCGTTCCGATAACTCTCTAGTCTACCTGTGAAATGTGATGTCTGTGTCTTAACCAGACAATGACTTGGGAGAACTTGTTCATTCTAGTCTTCCATCTTCTACCTATTCCTCAAAGCGTGGCGGATGTTTCTTAATTGCCTTGTACGGCCTAGCTAAGGAATATCTTTTAATGTGTCTAATCCATCTGCCCTTACTCGAGTATCTCAATTTTCCCTCAGCACTCAAGTGCAACCTCCCAATTCACGACCGCATCCTCCAAGACCACAATACATACAATAAAACAACATCCCCATCCATTCTCATACTGAAAATCAAGGACGAGGGCTAGCCATGTGCCTGCCCCTCCAGACCAGCACCAGGATCCTTCCAATTAACCAGAAAGTAGCACGCAAATCTACAGATCAGCGAACTCCTGACTTCCGCCCTGAACTCGGATGCAGTGATACGATGATCCAGTCGGCCATGCCGTATGCAACCTTGCTATGGATATGTCCGGGTACTTGACTGCTAGAAATCCCACGGTAGTAGAGATGTCTCTGACATTTAGTCAGACGACCAGTATCCCGAACAGCATACATCCACGTGGAATTGGGATTTGGTATTTTCTTGTAGAAACAGGGAATCTTGGGAACATTTTGAGGGAAAACGAATTTGTTCTTGTAAAATCTGCCCCATTGTACAAGCGATCCTTGCACCGCCCCCTCCCAGCTCGAGGTCTTTATTGGATGTGATAGTTTAGTCTCGGAAGTTGGTTCCTGCATGATCTGTTTTGGTTTGTAATTATTTTCCGATAGATGAGTGACTAGTTAAGGGAACAGTTTGCTTTCCGCTGGTTCAGCTATGCTGGCAGGTAGATTATTGTACAAGTAGGTAGACATTCCCGGGCTATCTCTTTTGCTTACTCTATAAATCTGGTTAAAGTGTTACCATTATTGAAAAATCCTTGCATTGAATCACAAGTGGTTTTTCTCGGGCAATGGTCAGCTGGAACGTTCAGCAGGTCTATAACACGAAGATTGACTCTGAATTAGGGCTTTGGCGCCTTGGCAACTTTTTCAACTTGCCTATGTAACCCAAGGCTTTTACACGATGTCCTTTTCCGAGATGAAGATGAATATCCCAGCAATGCAAAAACCATCGAATTGGCATGCTTTGCATCTACTTGGAATTTGTTTTCTGAAAATGGGGACCATTCGCTCACACAGTTAGGGTTTCCGTTGATGGACACTCCTTTCCCCCATGCCTTGCCACCACAGTTGGTCCCAATAGAATAGGATCCAGGCATTATGGACGCCTGCATTGGGACTCACAGGATCGTAGACCCTCATGACATGTACTTGTCGGCATGGACGTTCCACCCGTAGACACCACACCCCTTACCAACGCTCCACGTGAACGCACGGACTAAACGAACAATGACGTCCCGACTCTTCAAACTTCATGCTGTATTCAGCCGCCAAATCCCAAGTCTAGAGCTCCTTCAATTTCATCCAGAATTGAGGCGAGATGTAGCGCACTTTTTCCGAGGAAACATGCACGGAGTCTGGGAGAACGACAGTCATACAAACAACATTTAATTTTATACTCAGAACCACATCCGAGTCGGAAGAGTTAACAGTCGAGACGATGACAGTTGAATACCCTCATCCCGACCCTGGGCCATAAATCTCACCTCGACACTACCGTGTATCTTCCCAGAATACAGGGCCGGCTTCCTTTGGCTGGCCGTTGAAGACATCAGAGAAGACGAACTCGTCTCATTCCCTTTGCCCCCCCCCCCTCAGTGCTGGAAATGTAAAATGCACGTGTGGATGAAAGAAGGGAGAATTGGGAGAAGAAATCTCAGTATTTGCAGGATCAGCATGCCCCTGTCTTTTCGGAAAGAATAGAACAGGTGGCGTGGAATGTTGCTGGGTACATGTCGGCTTGACGCACGGTTCTTGATTTTGTGTATTGAGATAGGGGGCATTGGTATTGACAAGAGGGCTAATTGTTACAGTGTTCCAAGTTGAACATGTGTTGTCGACTATGTACTCCGCATTTGAAGCATAGAACATGGGGGTATGGCGTGGTATGGACTGAGCCTAGACGACGCCGCAGAGGGTCTTTTGAGTCTACTGTCCCCGGATCCAACTACACCAGAGTCAGACAAAGCCCCGTACAAGTACAGCTACAAGACCGCCAGACCGAGTGAAGAGAAACAAGTAAAATGTAATTTCATCCCGGGCAAACAGCCGAAGCCCGGATTCTCATAACCCCAGCCGTCTTCACGAAGACTGATGATCCCCTCCCCAAAAAAAACATACACACAAAGAACCACAACACTGACGCCCTGTTTTTAGATTTCCATAGGGATCGCCAGGTCATTTTTTTTTCTCGGGAATCACCAGCTCCAACAAGCACAGGAAGAAAAAAGAGTATCCGTCCACGATCTTCACCATTCAACGGGCATCATTTTGGGTTTTAGTCTGATGTTCGCTGAAAAGGAAGATAAACCACTCCCCCCACACACGACCGACCGCACCTGGGTCCGGACAGACCATAACCAGGTGGGAAACTCCAGAGCCAAAGCCGTCACCGCCATAATCTTTCCCATCGCGCCATGCCGCATCATCGGTCCATGTTGAATCGTGCGAGTAGTTACAGATGAGGCGCTTAATCCTTGCTCTTCTTGGGGCCCTTGACCTTGGCGACACCGCGGAACTTCTTGGAACGGTTCTTCCGTTGCTTGCCTGTAGGGAGAAAGGGTTAGCTAAAAAAAGGGGGATCCAACATGGTGTTTGCGATTGAATATCGCCGTGTAGAGGAAGACATACGCTGCTGGCGGGAAGCCTTCTCGATCTTGCTGGCGGCACCGATACGGACGAGACGGTAGTGGGGCTCGAACTTCTTCAGGGCCTCGGAGGAGTCGTAGACCAGAGCGAAGCCGGTGCTCTTACCACCACCGTACTGTGTGCGGAAACCGAAGACGGAGACCTGGTCCTTGTTGGACTTGTACAGATCGGCCAGCTTCTCACGGAGCTCGTCCTTGGAGACGTTGGGGCGGTTGGGGTGGAGGACGTCCCTAGATATTCGCGAAAAGATGTCAGATCGGGGTTTTCTGGGTTTTCGATGCTTGTTTCTGTGTCTCTGTGTGTGTGTGTGTGTGTGCGAATTGCGTGTTCCGATTGTACTCCTTTTTCTCTTTCTTTTTGTGCTGGGTGGTTGTCGAATTTCCATGTGGCGCGCCTGCGATGCATTTCCCACACACAGATCCAAAACGAAGGGGAAAATCAAGGGGGTTCTTACACGACCATCTGCTTGCGGGCAAGCAGAGGGTTGCGGATGAACTTGCGAGTCCGCAGAGTGACGGGAGAGTCGGCCATTTTGGTGTGTGCGTTGGATGGAGGAAGTGTCGACGGGGTCTCTGAGGATGTCGAACTTTCAATTTTCGTGTGGTGTGGGCTCGGCTAGGGTGGACGCTAGCCTATTTGAGCTATCTGCCTCAGGCTGAATGACTAATGAATGTGGTGCCTGAGGCACAAGGTCCCGATCAACCCTTGCTTATCTCATTCCTGACTCATCCGCCCTCGCCCGGGCTCCAATGACATCTGCCGCATTGATTTCCTGTGATATCAATTTCATTACGATCTTCATTCAACAACCATGACCGATTCTGTTGATAAATTAGCGGCGCAATATTTCCAGCTGGTCGAGCTTCAGCACTTGGCTCTCCCACCAGGCCCTGTGCTGGTCCAGCCAGCCGTGCAAGCAGCCTTATACGAGCGCATGTTCAACGAAAAAGCTGTCTTCCCTATCCCACCAGACAGCTACCGAAGCCGAGTGCTGAAACAGATTCTCTCTCGCATCGAAAAATCTATTACAAACCCGGAGGAGGATGTATGCTTACCCACGTGTTCTGAATCCTTTTGTTTTACGTTTTGCATCTTGAAACTTCCCTATCTTTTCCTTTTCTATTCCCATGTACATCCACCTCACACCAATGCAAAATCAAATCCCACTTTTAATATTCCATGATTTTTCACCTATCTAACCTCTTCCCCGTCCTATGAACACAGGAGATCAACGATGATCTCATGGAAAGCTGGAGCCAACTAGTCTCACAACCAAGACCATCAGCCCTGCAGCAAGCGCAGCAGCTGTCGCTAGTCAAGTATACAACGCCAACTTTCCGTACGGGAACCTGCCCGCAGCGCACTGTCATCACTTCTGAATCCCGCGGCCTGATTCTGTCCGCTGGAACTACTGGAAATCGGACATGGGAGGCTGCTCTGCACCTCGGTTCGTTCCTGGCGTCTGCAGCGGGCGAGGCTCTTGTGCGTGGTAAGCGCGTTATTGAGTTGGGTGCTGGCACGGGCTTTCTGTCGCTTGTTTGTGCTCGCCATCTTGGTGTGCGCTCTGTTGTTGTTACTGATCGTGAGCCGGCCCTTATTGATAACATCCGTGATTGTGTCAGGCAGAATTTGCAGGGACTCGAGTCCATTCCTATTTATCCTGCCGTTTGGGAGTGGGGGACTCCGTTGGTGAGGGAGGGGGATCTCGCTGAGTTGGGTTCTGATGAGGGCGAGGAGGGGACTGGGCTGAGGTTTGATGTTGCCCTCGGTGCTGATCTGGTGGGTGTTCTTATGGACTGTTTGTTTGGTCTTCGTGCTCACATGTCTAGATTTATGATACCGACCTTGTTCCCTTACTCCTTTCTACTGTGCGGGATCTTTTTGAGAACTACCACATTGAAAAGTTTATCATTGCTGCGACTCTGCGCAATGAGGATACTTTCCGCACGTTCTTGAATGCTTGTGGTGAGTCTCGAATTCAACCCACAGCATTGATGATATATTCCACACAGCGCTAAACATCCATAGAAACCAACTCATTCGATGTTGAAACCCTCTCGTTCGAGTCTACACCATCAGAAGACCAGACGGGTTTCTTCCATTCCACCAGCATCCCAATCCGGACGTATCGGATTTCACGCACGAAATAAGCAGTCACTTGAACTGCGTTTACATCACGAGGTAACGAGTATGAGTAGAGAGTGTGATATCATGCAAATGATGCAAAAGTTAGTGATTACAAGAACCTTGTTCCTACTGTATATTTCCAGCTCTAAGGGAACTGTAGGCTACAATGTTCAACTCGATCATTTTGACGAGCAAAACTTCAATGGTATTGAGGTACTCGATGAACTCAAGTCCAAGCTCCAGGATTCCGGTGAAAAACAAAAGTAAATTGTGAAAGGACTAAAGAATGTAAATTGTATCATCTAGACAAGTTTGAAAGCCAGGGGTGAAAGTATGGGTATCATCGCAACTCGCGCCATTCCAAACAAGGAATCCAAGAAATGCAACAAAACGGTGAGAGCAGGAGGCAAAAGTAAAAAACGGAATTCTAAACGCGAGACTGAAACGAATGTAAGCGCAAAAGAACAATGAGTGTGTAGATATTTACGTTGCGAGGAACTTAGCGATTATCATCAGCTAGACTCTCTCGCAACAAGTCTTCGTCTATGCTTTCGGCATGAATTGAGATCGGAGCAGGAGGCGGAGGCCGCAAGCCCATTATCGGACCCTTCTGGTTCACACCTGGGTATCTGAAGCGGGGAGCTAGCAGGTCAACGGGTTTGGGCGTAGATGTAGATGGAGAAGGTGACAATGCCTTAAACATCTTTGCCGAGTCCGTCGGATCTTGAGTGTCATTGTCGGATGGGATCGGGGCCTCGCGCCAGCGGCTTAGCACCCAGCCTCCCATACGGCGACCCAACGAAGTAGCCCTGCGAGGCCCAACGGTTGAGGTTGAGGTTGAGTCGATGCTGGAGCTGTCTGTAGATAGAATAGATACCGTGTCGGACTTGGTTTGATTTCCTGCAGCCATGGAAGCAAGCAATGACTGGGATGTATACTCTGAGCTCTTTGCACGATGGGCTGTGATAGCCGGGGCTGAGATTACCGGAGGTGTTGATAGTCGTTTGACACTGGGTGATAAGATGCGCCGAGGAATCCGCATGCCGGGATGCCAGTCGCCCATTCGCTTGTGGCGACTGGTAAGTGTATGGATGTCCATTCCAGCAATGGAGACAGAGAGCAAGCTATCATGAGAAGAAGATCTGCGTAAAGATGAAGGCTGTACTTGCGTAGAAAAAAGGTCGTCGGTGGGCGTTAGTGGCTCACCCATAGGCGAGAAGTATGCCGCCGATGTAGATGGTTCGGATTCCTCTGGAATATCTGGTTCTCTGGTGGCATTATCACCCGGGTTCGAGAAGTTTTGGCGGCTGTAGCAACCATCCTCAAATGCGGACAGGTCGTCAGGTGGATTGTGGGTTTCAAATCCACCCATTGACCGGTGTGGTGTGTCAAGACCCTTCAGGTTCCGTGCCTGCATCCAAGGCGAAGAGAAGACGGTGCTTTCCGGGCTGGTAGGCTGAGAGAAATCAGTGCCACGTTCAACACGATCAAAAATCGATGACGTCCGGAACGCGGACTGAGGAGAGCTTGCTACCGAGTCCGGAGCATGTGACTGTGAGGACCAGCAGCGGGATGATGAACGGGGTGGGATGGATACAGAGGGCTGCGAAATAATGGTTGACATCGAGGATCCAGATGACTGGGAGCGATGAAGGGCTCTTCGGGGGGACCGGGACCGCATCACAGAGTACATTGCTACTGGGCTCCCCAAAGCAGGGCGGCGCTTTTTCATGCGACGGTTGAGCGTGCCTTTCTCTTTCTTTGCAGTTGGAGCTGGATTTGGTGTGTGGAAATGATGATGGATGTGTAATTCCTGAGACACGCGTTGTTCTTCCTTCGCTCGTAGCTCCTCACTCAACGTGGCGGAAGATCTTGGCTGTACATTGTCCTCCTTATCCACGCCGGCGAGCGGCTGATGAGATATGACCTGTTCTCGTAGATTTTGAACTTCTTCATTCGAGCTCTGAAGCATGTCGCGTAGCTCCATGATCCCGACTTGCAGATTGGCGTTGTCTTGCAATATGTCCTTGACGAAGCGAGAGACCACGTTCGTACCACCTGCGTTGCGGTTGAGTTCAGAGGCGGCAGCGGCACCCTTGAGACGCCCTGCTGCATTGTCCAGCTCGCGCTCCACAGCTCTCTTGCGCTCCATGCGTTGAACGAGGTCTGTATGTCGATCCCTCTCCTCGCGTGCTTCTTTCTCAATGCGGTCGACTTGATCATGAAGGCCTCGCAAGGTGATTTCTGCTTGTCTCCACCGTTGAACGGCCGATTTCTCGTCTTCGCGAACTGATGCAAGGCTCTCCTGGAGCTTAGACTGCTCGGCCTCCATAAGAACTAGTTGCGCCTCAAGCTCTGCGGCACGCGATGCAGCCACCGTCAATCGTCGCAACTCCGACTCCGTCTGCTCCAACGCAATGGTTAGGGACTTAATTTGGTTGTCAGACTCGGCGACCGCTTGATTCAAACTGTCAAGTTGCTCCAATAAACTGCGATTCTCTTCAATGATACGCGCATTTTCTGCTTGAACTTGTTGCTTTTCGCGCTCAAGATCGTCAATGCTGTCGACCAACCGATGGCGGTCCTCTTCCGCTTCAGCCATGTAGCTTTCATGGCGGTGGAGCAAGGCCTGTAGAGCAAAAGTCAGTGACGATGCCTCACAACAAGCTACCGTAGCAGCATAGTCATGAAATGTAGCCATGACAGACGCCAACAGACGCCAACATAGTGCGAGAGAACGGGAGATAGTGATACAAGAGAGGCCATCTGGTTCTAAATGATGTGGGGTCTGCACAAGGTATGCAGAATGTGTAGTCCGAATTAGATAAATGAAAGGGGAAAAGTTAAAAAACAAGCAACAAGGTGAAAAGCGTTGTGAGAGGAATTTGATGTATCAAACAATAAAAATGCATAGCTCAGCCTGGTAACAGCTTGGCGTCTTGTCATACTCAACCAACGGCACATCATTTTTGAGGAGCTCTACAGAACACGTACCTGACCTAGTCTAGCAGCAGTCTCCAGATCTTTCTCCAAGCCCTCGAGAGCTATATTGTTATGCTCGAGTAAAGCACAATCTTTGCGGCCACAGCAGCAGTGCAGGGTGGTGGAAGCGCTTGAATGGGTAGGAATGCTGATGATCTCAGCGCTATGTGGAGGATCCATTAAGAATGTGGCCCCTAGGGGGAGCTGAGTGTGTGGAGAGGCCTTATCATCAGAAAACCTTGAAGCTTCGAGGTTTCGTAGACTATCACAGACTCCATTTGACTTTAACAGGCAGAGATCTCCTAATCCAGCTGTGATGAGATAAGCCTCCAGGTGTTCACGAGGCCTTACCGCTTTATATTGCCATGTTTCACCGCCTATGCACGTGTGGAATGAGTTGACGTCACAAAGAACCAAACAACAAGCATGTGCTATGTACATGCTCCGTACTAGACCTAGGTAAGCTGAAAAAAGGTATTCTAAATAATGTGCTCGAGGGAATGTACCTCCTCTTTTAAATAAAAGGCCAAAAGTTAGGAACAAGTCATACAAAAGCAATCCTAAAGGGACTCATCATTCTGGCTAAGAGATACGTAGAAGTTGATTTGACATAAAAGAAAATCTGGACAAAAGGAAGTGGAGACTCATGGAAGTAAAAGTAGATCAACACGAAACATCTGGGATGGGTAGTTTTACCCACAATAAAGGAACATCAGTGAAGAAAACCAAACAAAAAGGGATAGACAAGACCCTTACCCAGCGCCAATCAAAGCAGAATATCATCCCGAACATTAATGAACGCCCCAGCGCCGCCGTCTTCACTGATTTCGTTAACCAGCACTTCAGTTTGCTGGTAGAGCCTTTCCAGCGCCGCAGCAGATGATTTGCCCAGTGAGACTACACAGTGCTGTTAGCGTTGTTGCTTGCAAATAGAAATAGAAACAAGGAAGCTAAATAAATAGACCAAGCTACATACCAAGAATAGCCGAGTTCAACTCCTCGGCCACAGCAACCCGCCCCTCAGCATCGAGGTAATGGCCATGCACAGACCTCTTCGGATCAGGGTATGCCACCAGCGAGAAGATATCATCCAGCAGTTTCTTGTCGCCGCCGTTCTCGTCGGTGGGGTAGTCGGTACGGAGTTGTTGGCCGTATTGTACTGCCTCCGTCAGGAGCTGGTTGAACTGCACGACGACCTCGGGTTCTTCGGTGTCCATGCCGTCTGCGACCCAGCTGTCACCATCCCCGTCATCAAGCTCCATCTCCTGGCCGAAGACGGCGTGCTCGTGCTCATTGGACGATGTTGAACGACAGCGCTTCGCGGCGGTTGCCGCGGAGAGTTCGTTGGAACGCCGCATCATTTCAAGGAATTTACGGCAGCGCAGTTTGAAGTGGATTTGCGGGTGGTTTTCCAGGACGTTAGGATAATAGGCTTTGGTGTGCTTGAGGGCCTTGTCGATGTCGCCGTCCAGAATTGCGGAGCGGATTTCTATAGGCTGTCAGTGGGATCTTGGCGCGGGGAGGAATGTAGAGGGGTAGATTTACTGTTCCGGTTGATGGCTTCGCAGTCTTCCTCGACCTCATATTTCTTCAATGGCTCGTTGCGGCCGTTCTGCAGAGCCAGAGTTTCGGTGGCTACCTCTTGTGCGAATGCACGGGCTGTGTCCACGTAGCCGTCATGGGCTAAGAACTGCGCAACTAATTCTTGCAGAAGTGTCGACTCGTCCAACGGTGGTTGGAGACCGGCCGTGGATGTTTTATTGATCTCTGATTGCACGCTGTATCTCTCTTTCTGGTAGGAATTAGCTTGACAATCTCTAGGTATGCAAAGTAGACAGCACGCACCTTGATCATGCCGTCGATATCAAAAACGAAAGGTTCCTGTCCAAAGTTCGTTTTGAGATGTACTGGCGGTAGTTTTTTCATTCCGACAGATGGGAAAATGTTCGTATTGCGCAGATCGTTGAACGCAATTCCTGTCAAAATTAGCCTAATTTATCCTCATTACAATCTATATCAGAACCTACCCAAGAAAACCCCGTTCTTAGTGAAGAACGCAGATCCCGTGGAGAAATTCACACCACATCCGACTGTATCACCAGCACCAAAAGTTGGTCCATATGTTCGACCTTGTCCTGGACTCTCACCAAAGAACGACTTTCCATCATCGCCATGGTAAGCCCAGGATTCCGTCTCCCAACCGGGAAGCCTCTCGACGGACGCCTTGAGGCTAGAAAATCCAATGCCAATCATGCTAGACAGGAAAAGTCAGCCTCGACAATTAAGATCATTACTCTCTACCTGTAATCTGTTCACGTACCCCTCCTTCGGCTTCGACTCAATCTTCACCTCAAAGTAATAGATCCCGCATTGCGGCGGCATAGGGTGATCCGCGCGCAAGGCAGCAGCTTCATGGTCATGCTTGTGCATAGGACCAGTGTAGCGCACATCGAAGTTCTCATTTGACAATTCCAGACCGGAAAACTTATCTGCAGAGCTCCACTGACTGGGCAGCGGCATGAGTCGATCAGCCGGGGCAGACGGTTCTCTCTCTATGATCTCATATGTCATGCCGCGGTGCGACGGGGCAATGCGGGGCAATTGAACATTGCTGGAAGAGGCGGAGAGGGGAGGATTAGATGTTGCGGATGAGGGGTCTCGCTGTTGGGCAGCGATCTTAGCGCGGTGGGCAGTCTCGAGACGGGCGATGTAGCGGGAGTTGCGGAGGTAGGATGGGGTGATGAAGGCCGGGGTGTCGGTAAGGCCTAGGCCGTGCGGAAATTCGGCCGAGCGTAGAAACCCGGCATACTTGCGAGACCAGGGAGGAAGTGACTCTGTTGAACCTGTGTTTCTCCAGGCGGAGGTCATGTGCATGTCTGCGGCATCCACGCCGAACGGAGCCCGGTGGACTCGGCTATCGGGCGGGGGGTAAAAGATTGGGTGGGAATTGTTGAGGAGATGTGAGAAGGAACTGGAGATTAGTGGGGAAAATGCGTTGCCAGATACCACTGAGGCGTAGGAGGAGCGGCGTGGGATGGAGGATATGCTGGGGTATGAGGTCGGAGCTTGAGCTCCACCGGATGGGGGGAAGGGAGCATCGGCCATGATGTTCGCGGGTCGCCCCCCAAATGATGCCACGAAATCAAGGCAACCGTTTCTCCGTTCCTGTTTGTTCGCTTCGGGCTTTGGGGGTCCACAGTTCTGATTTCGTTTGGGGACTGGCGCTCCCAAGGTGAGGGATTCTAAAAGTGCGTGGTAGTAAGGACCAACCACAATCGTGGTACCTGTGGAGACAGCTACCTTATGCGTGGTAATCGAAGATACCGTATGGAGTGCGTGGCAATAAGCTCTTCTTGGGACACAAAAGTGCGTTAAAAAGTTCGAGACAAGTGCGAGCTAAGTGAAAAAACTCGTGGGAACAAGACGCTCACGGCAGAAAGGTGACGTTGCGTGACAGGTCTGAATGCAGCAAGCAGATCTTGCCAACTCGCGACCTTACTATTTTACCAAAAGAGAAATGCGAAGCCGTCAGATCCGAGGATCTAAAATTAACAAAGAGCTGTAGAGCCTAGTCATAGCGAAAATAGCTAGATCTCGAGAAAAACTCACGAATCGCCTTGATGCATAGATTGTGGACAAAAAGGAGTCCGGAGATTATACGGAGTTGAGATGGAAAGAGGGGAGAAATGTATAATGTCACGAGCTGATGTTGACTTGGACATTATTGCTCAGCTACTGTACTACTAGGAGTCGGGCAGACGAGGACTTTGTTCACATGTATACTTTGAGGTACTTGGCACCTAGGAAGATCCAAGTATATAGCCCTATACCGTTTGAGTTAAACAGAACTTGGGCGAAATTAACTGTGTTGTGCTCCCAGAGCAAAGATCCTCGAACAGAAGGTGAAAACATAGCCGGTAATCAGCAGAAAATGAAGAATGAAGAAGGAGAAGAAGGAGAAGAAGAAGGAGAAGAATGAGAAGAAGGCGAAGAAGAAGGGGGAAAAAGAAGAAAAAGAAAAGGGCTATAATACAGTACACACATACCGAGTGAAATAAGCCAGATCCCCAGCTAACAATCCCGTGCACATAAGAAAAAAATAAGCCCTTTAACAGAAAAGCCGTTAGCCATCAACACTTTCCTCCAACGCCGAAACCAAAACCCGAGATAAAACCCAAAGAAAGAAACAGAAAAGGCGCAAAATCTATAAGTACAGCACGAGAACCACATCCGAACTCGTCACGGTCATATTCAAGCTGTCATAGCAATGGCCGGCGACGAGGGCTCAACAATATGAGAAGCGGGGGTGACATCGCCATCTCCGGAGTGACTCTTCTCACTAGGAACAGCACTGCTGCCATTGGCCGTGTCAGTGCCGGGGGCATGGAGCATAGGCTTGGTGTCGCTATCGCCACTTTGCATTGCTGAAACCTTGCCATTGACCGAGTCGTCGGACTTGGATATGCCTGGTGTGCGCCAGGATGGGAGTTGCCACATAATGCCGGTGAAACTGCGTAGTTGTAGGGGTTTGCGCTCCCATTTACGACACGCGGCTCCGGTGCGGTCTAGCGCGCGCAGACCGGCATTAATGGCTCCCGTATTGGCTTTTGGTCCCAGGCGCTGTGCAGCTGGGATTTTTGTGGCGTCGCCTTCGTCACTAGGATAGTTCTCATATTAGATTTTTTTCTGTGGGGGGTTTTTTTTCTGGCATTGAGGTGCTGCATTGGAGGGTGTGTTGGGTTTGCTTACAGTCTGGGCTTTTTCTTGGGGCCAGGACGTCCCCGTGACTTTGCAGTAGGGTCGGTTTGTTCTTTTGTTCTTTTGTTGCCGGGCTTGGGACCCGGAACGCCCTTCCGACGTGGTGTATCGCCTGCAGTTGCCCCCGTAGCAGGTGTAGACATGGCGTCGGCGTCTGAACCATTGTCGGCAGAAGATGGACGGACTGGAGGGAGCTCGGTGGATGAGGCTGGTGAGAAGTTGTCGTTGGGTTTATTGTTGGGGGTATTATTTTGGCTGAGCTTGATCTTGGGGCTGGCGAACTGCTGGAGAGCATCTCCAGATAGCTTGAGAATCACCATCAAGGAGTTGGATGAATTCTTAGCTCCAGCGCGAGAGCGACCATTTGGAGTGGCGGCGGGCATGATAGATGATGGGGGGGTGGTGAGAGGGGATTGCGCGAGGGTACCGGAATTGGTTGGATGGTCGAGAGGGGAATTTCTGGTGACGGAAGTGTAGGCAATTCACCGTGACGTGGTGTGTATGTCTCTACCGCCCGTCTCTTATAGATGTAGAAGAAGTATGTGTAGTCGATCGCATAGTCCGGTGTGAGAATGATGGAAAGAGGGGAAGGGAAGGGGAAAGGGAAAGGGAAAAGGACAAGGAAGGGGCGAAGTAAAAAGGGATCGTGGGCCCTCTCATCGTAGAAAAACTCATTCAAGGTGAAGCACAGGGGATATGTGAAGGTGTGGACTTCGGCCTTGTACTGTCATTTTCAATTCTTACAACTTGGCCCAGCCGCTTCGGGACCAACGGGGAGAGCTTAATACCTGGACGTGACAATACAATACCACAGTACCGATATATGTACGGAGTACATCTTCGTTCATTTCATCTCTTTTATTCTCTTCTGATTATTAAAGACATTTACAGGTGGAATGCTGAGAGATTCAAGATCTTCAAGGCCATCTGGGTATTCTCGCCTCTTACTTAGACCGGAACTTGACATTCTAGCTCATCTCCAATGTGAGAAACAACCCAACCCTAACCCGTTGATGGATCTCATTCCACACCCGCTGTGTCCCGAAAATAACTCACTGACCGCATGATGTCTCGAGAGATGCGCTTTTTTTTTCCCTCTTTTGGGTCTTTTACAATCAGAAGAACCTCACATCTCTTTGAGATCTAGTCCAAGTGGACCCATTCGCAACGGATCTGGTGAGGGTATCACGAGTCTTCTCACGAAGCCCCTACAAAGTACGGGTCGCCACTTCGGAAACTTGAACTTCGATTAGTCCACGGGTGAACCAAAAGAATTGCCAAATTACGCGACGCTGCCAAGGGATCGTCCAGACAAGGCACAAATACTTGTCGATTACAAAGAATTCATGGATACAGTATCTTGAGATAAAATATACACCTATCTAACCCTCTCGGGTCAAGTCTACACCTGAAATCCAATCAATTGCGCTTACTGTCACCCTCAGCTTTGCGTCGTTCAACTACTTGTGCCACGGCACGTTGCACCTCAGGACTGGACCGCACTCCGCCGAGGATGAGCCCTTCCTTCATACCCCGCCGGAGGGTTGATATACTTGCACGGTCACCACGGAAAGGTGCCAGACCCATCTGCAGCATCCGCGTCGCCTCCATATCCGTGCTGCGTGTCAACTGGATCAATTCTCTGATCTGCTGGACAGTCTGCGGTGATATCTTATCTTTGCCATTCCCATTTCCAGCAACTTTGGCGGTGGGCGGTGCGGCCTGCGAGATGAAGATGTGCAGCATGATGGAGGCGCGGCGTGCTAGCGTCAGGATCTGGAAGGGAAGGAGGTAGAATGAGTTCTTCGGGAGCCAAGCTTGTAGTGCGACGGGAAGGTATGCAGTGGGCATGAACACAGCCTGGGGATGCGTAATCAAGCCAAGTTCGAGGGTCAGCAATGCGGCGAACGTGTAGAAGCGCCACTAACAACAGAGTCAGCTTATGCAAGTGAATCTCTTCTCGTGATGATGTAATGTACTCACATAACGGCCCCAATTCGCCCACCACAGCCAGTTAAGTACAAGCATTGTGACAAGCCCGCCGATGTATTGCGGGACGATCGACTTGACCAACGAGGTCATCAAGAAGTCACGCATGGTTTTCTGCTCTCCCCATCCGAGCATATCTGTCCCGAACCGGTCGTACGCAAATCGCTTCACCGGGTCCACCAATGTTTCCTGCGCCTGTCGAAGGTACAGGAAGTAAGCATCGGATCCGCTGTCTAGCCCGACTTTGTCGGGGTGATACTGAGCTGCGAGCCGGCGGAATCGCGACTTGATTGCGCGTTCGTTGGCAAAAGGTGATACACCCAGGGCTTGGTAGTAATCGCCTGCAAGTTGTACCTGGTAAAAGGTCTCGTAGAGTGTATAGAGGAGGTAGCTTGTGATTACGAAGATGAAGATACGGCGACGATGACGCTCATATCGTGGAGTTTGAGGGAGTGGCTTGGGTTCGCCAGCACGGATAGTGATGCCATAGTAGACGGATTGCAGGAACGATGTGGCATACTGTTATTCATGTCAGCTTCCATTCCACGTGTTGTATAGCTCCGAAGCTCCGAATAGCTGCTCCACTCACATTGGGAAGAATAGCCCATCCGAAGAAAGGAAGAAGCGAGGCCATGGTGATTAAGAGATTTCACCTGAGTAATCCCAAAAATACCATATCAAAAATAACCAGAAATTTAAAAGATCAAGATAGAGATCCTAAGCATCATTTGGCGTTTACAACAGTAGACCCCCAAATAGCAGTTCCCCAACATGTCCCGAGGGGTTCATTCGCTCTGTCACCGCCCAGCCCCACCGCCTTCCCATCTCGTCATACCAAAAGTCAGATGAAAAAAAAGTTCTCGACGCCCAAAAGAAAAAAAAAAGAAGCACTCCAATCCCTCCACATCGACACGACAAGCTCCGTGGAGCGCCCAAATTGCCTCCACGATGGCAATTGACGCAATGGAAATCGATAGCCTGCCGCTACGCACAGCGGACGCAGAGCGCAAGCGCAAGTCCAAGAAGGACGCATCCGCCGCATCACCATCCAAAAAGCGAAAGCAAACCTCTTCCTCAAAAGCAACTCCACAACAAGTCCAAGGCTCAAATCCCGAGTCTCCCTTCACCCTCACAACAGCAACCCTCTACCTGCCCCTGTCGCCCATCTCCATCTCGCCGACGCACGCGCTGGCCTCGCTGCTGGCCGAGCATCTCTCGCCACTGCTCCTGACCTACTTCCCACCACTGAAAGGTGTCGTCTTGGCCTACTCCAATGCCTCAATTTCCAGCAAGCCGCCGGCTAGTCCCCGCTCTTCTTTTGATCTGAATCCGCAGCCGCTCACGCTCGCTACAACAGCGGACGAGTACGGTGTCTTGTACGTCTACCTGACTGCCACATTCCTGGTGTTCCGGCCGAAGCGCGGACAGACCCTTGATGGATGGGTGAATGTGCAGTCGGAGGGATTCCTCGGCGCTGTCGTGTTCAATCTGTTCTCTGTCGGCGTTGAGCGCAAGCGTCTGCCCTCGAACTGGAAATGGGTTCCGCCTGGTGAGGAGGCTGAGACGCCGGCTGTGGCCTATGATGACTCAGGCTCTGACAAGGACATGGCGGATTTCGACGCTGAGAAGGAATGTTTCAGGCCTACTACACTTTCTGCGGAGGAGATCCCGATTGACGGCGAGGAGGATGAGTCTGCTCACACTGGGTATTTCCAATCTGTTTCCGGACACCGTGTGAATGGATCTGTGCGTTTCCGTGTTGTTGATGTGGATGTTATTCCCGGTTCTGAGCGGGATCGTGGGTTCCTCAGCATCGAGGGAACTATGCTTTCCGTTGAGGAGGAGGAGAAGCTTTTGGAGTCTGAGCGCCAGGGACAGTCTTTGCCTCCCTCGTTCTATTCATCGCATCAGAAGGTCTCTGGTTCTATCCCCGTGATGAGCGTCCCGGCGGCGTCGGCGGTGCAGGAGCTCTCGACTGTGGATGTGCACCTTGAGCCCAGTCCCAAGAAGGAGAAGAAGGAGAAGAAGGAAAAGAAGGAGAAGAAAGAGAAGAAGGAGAAGAAAGAGAAGAAGGAAAAGACTGAAAAGACTGAAAAGAAAGAAAAGAAGTCCAAGTCTTCCAAGTCGAAGACCAAGGACGAATAAATTCGCTCTGTGGACATGTCTGCATGAGCACCGATATCATACATCACTGTTGACTAAATCCTGGATGGGCGTTCCGGTTTGCTTGTTCTTATTTTCAGGGTCGACTTCGAATGTGTATATGGCAATTGAACATTTAAAGAAAACACTTCATTTCAAGCCATCTCTGACAGGTTATCCATAAAGATCTATATTTCAAATCCTCCATCATTTTCTTATATCCCATCAAATCTTGACCGCCAAAACATCCACACCACCAACGATCTCCCGCTTCCCAGGCATCTTCCCAACCCTCATCAACTCCGCAGACTTGGTCATAACCGGATCAACCCCCATAGTAGCAACCGCCACAACGGTCTCCCCAGCCGTATAAAAGGCAACAAACTTTGCCTCCCCCTTCTCCTGCAAAACAACATCATCATACCCGTTGACTGGATTTCCGCAGTACCTCAACTGCGCCCCAAGCGCCGACCAAAACACCGGAATAAACGCTTTGTGTTTCAACGACGACAACGGACCGCGCTGCGCATGTACGATTGCGCGTGCAGCCGCACGTCCCGCATTCTGCGCGACGTTCCAGTGCTCGATACGGACTGGCGAGCCGGCAGCATCAGCACCAGGGCCGTGGTAGGGGTATGTTGCTATATCACCGACTGCAAAGACAGAGTCTTGCAGTCCTGGGACGAGGAAGTGGGAAGTTGTTTTGATGGAGCCGTCTTTTTCGAGGGTAACGGATTTGTTCTCACGGAGGAAGTCTGTTGCTGGACGGACACCGACGCCTAGGATGACGACGTCGGCTGGGAGGGTTGTTCCGTCTTTTAGGTGAACTGCACCGACGCTGTGAGTGTTTGAAGGGGACGCTGTTGCGTGGCTCACGTTTGCCGAGAGGTTGAATTTGATGCCGGCCTTTTCTAGGTTTGATTGGAAGATTCGGCCGACTTGAGTGCCCATAACGCGCTCCATTGGGGAGGTTTCCATGCCTACTATTGTCACGTTGTGGGATTTTGAGAGTGCGTTGCCGACTTCCATGCCGATGAAGGAGCTGCCAATCACCACTACGTTTCTTTTTTCTTGGCCGGCGGCTGCTAGGATGGACTCCACGTCTTGGATTGTGCGGAGGGTAAAGATATTGTTCAGTTCGCCTTTGAAGCCCTGTAGCGGGAGTCTGCGGGGGACACCGCCTGTTGCTAGAACCAGTTTTGTGTAAGAAATGTTTCGGCCGGATCTGGTGGTGATGGATTTTTGTTCGAAGTCCACGGCTGTCACTTCATCTGTGATGGTTTCTATGGCGGCTTCGGTGTACCACTCTCGTGGCCGCCATTGGATCTTCGCTGGGTCTGTGATTAGGGCTTTAGATAGCTTGGTTCGATCTATGATTAGATCGGGCTCTTGGGAAATGATAGTAATTGATCCGGGGTATTTTAGCTCCCGGAGGGCTTGAATCAGGCCAAGAGTTCCACTTCCTCTGTTTGGTGTTAGCGTGGGGATCTGATAATCTAAAATGAGCGGGTATGTAGAAACATGTGTAGAGGGTGTATGAAATATGGAGGGTCGCCATAAAGCAACCGTGAAGTAACCGAGCATATAACTGGTCCATAGGGCACAGCATCCCTGAGATTTAAGAAAAAGGCGCAAAAAAAAAAAGTTATCGCCCGGGGGCGATCCGGCAACTCGAGATCAAGCAGCACTCGAGCTGAGGACGGGCTGGCTCCAAACAAGCGGTGCGCCAATCGTCGCCAACGACAACCGCTTGACCAAATGCCCGCCCATCCAGACACACCGGGCAGTGGGATATATCACGCGAAATGTGCACCATGATGAGGTTTAAAAAAAAAGTGCGACTTACCCTCCAACAACAACCAACCTCTCCTTCGGCTGTGACACGCTACATTTCACAACTGGATTGCGCTGTCCTGCTTTTACATCTTCTTCTTTGGCAATGATGTACACGCCACCTTCTCTTTCGAAGACTTCGAACTTGTTCAGCGCGTTGGGGGCTGGGGCATCCTCAACATCGCCAGTTGTGACGTTGTAGCAGGCTGTATGTGTTAGTAAGTAACTCTTTGTTCATTTCTTCTTCTTGATTGAAATCCAAACCAAGAAACTTACCTCCATGCCAGGGACATGTAAGCCTTCCATCTCCAGTCACGACGCCATTCTTCAGTGGCGCTCCATAATGCGTGCACCGCGGACTAAGGGCATGGACTATGCCGTCCAGCTTGACGAGGAGAACTTTCCCATCTTCAATTCCTTCTATTTCAGCCTCGATTTTGTCTAGAGAGTTGAGGGATGTGAAGGAGGAGATATCTTTGAGTTTGTATTCTTTGGACATTGTGGATAGGTGTGATAGATTGCGTTTTGATTGGATTGACTTGGAAGAAGATGAAAGTGCAGAAAGTGAAGAAAACGTAGTAAAAAGAGAAGAAGAAGTAGAAGAAGAAGAGGTCCAGAGTAAGCTGGTTATGCGGGGGGAGGGAATATGGCGTAATGTCAAGAGTAGACAGTTACACCGCCGGGAGACTTGGAGAGATGGCCACGTACTTAGACGGTGCATGGTCAGGATTCAAATGGAAAAAGAGGGAAAATTTGCTTAATCATGAAGTCAATTTCTTGATTCAATTGACTGCTCTACTTTGACTGAGATGTCAAGTTATATGCAACACCTCTGAAGTATACATCGTGACATCACTTCATGAATCCAACCAATCACTAGCAGGGGTTTATCATCTACAACATTCAAAAATCTTGTTTTAACTGTGAGCCCGAAATCAAATAACCGGAATTAAATGGACTGAGTAAGATTATAGACATCATAGCTCTGTATCCGTACATATACGCCATATAAATTTTGGCTTAGAGGCATGATGATGCTAACTAGTGGAAGGTCAATGAAGGGACTTGATCTGACAACTTGCACTAGATCTATGCCAAGGATATCTTGAAAGATGAAGTGAACCTGATTGTTCTGAGTCAAATGCTCAACTAGGGATCTCTATCAACTATAATATTATTACAACGTGGATGCTTAATAGTAGTATACGCGTGCCCGTCCTAAATGAATAGCAATTGAAGTTTCGAAATACCTACTCTAGCTGCCAAGATGATCCTTTCACAGCATTTTATATCAGCTTTCACGTTCGGCTAAGGGACCTTCGGGGTAGTTCATAACCTCAACAACATAGTCTCTATCGTCAACAAACGACAAAGACGTCTCAAGTGTATATAGCCCTAATTCGCAACTTTACCCAACATGAGTAGTCCCGTAATCGGGCAAATTCCTGGACAAATTATTCTGTACCACAGTCAAATTGGTGTACACAGCCATATGGAGCTCAAAGTTCGAAGGTGCAAATCTCTGTAAGTTTTTTTTAGAGCCGCTACCTGTGTGATAATCCCAGACAACACCGTGGTGGGTATCAAAGAATAGGCAAGCAACTTCTCGAGAGGGGCGCTTTTGTCGTCGCCACGTTTGGCGAGCGGACCAGCAGCCCGCTGGTGCGCATAGCTAGCGGGTCTAGCTCGGCGGCGGCTATGTCCCTACCCATGACATGCTCGGTGTAATTGTGCCCCATGTCTCTGATATCCAGCATGTCGATGATGGTCCTGCATGATAAAGTGAGGGCATACTAAAAACGACGAAGTGTAGGGGGATAGTGCATGCCACAAATCAAGTTAATCAAGGGAGGTACAGAGATATGGATCCATCCAGTCCGGGGTTTCATCTATAGTAACCGGCATAGTCAAGGCTACCCCAACACCCGTCCGATAAACATCGAATAACAAACCCGCGATGGTGCAGTACGTATCTAACTGCAATGACTCAAACTCCATAAGCGGGCTGCCCGTTGGAAGGACAAATGTTATAGATTGGTCGGAGGAGTGCGGTTGCCTGCATAATTCCCCTCGAAGGCGACTTTCCAGAGCTGAAGGATACAGATGCTATGACATTACTGACAGTGTTCTTTCTTTTCATGACCTGCAAGAACATTCAGAATAATAGAACATTTGGTATTGAACCGAAATGAATTTATGTTCAGGAATAAAAAGAATGTGCAAGCCTAGACGCCATCGCTCTGCGCCTGTACATATACAGACAATATAAAAATGCCAACAATACATCCTCGTCTCTTCAACTTTCAATTAAAAAAACGTAACCCATAAACCGTATTTTAGAACTTTCGCGAGGAGCGCCTCTTCTTCTGACTGGAAGGACTAATACTAACTTCCACCATATGTTGGAGTCTTCCCGTAGAAGCTCGGGGTGGACGTCCAGACGAGCGAGGAATGTCCTTTTCACCTTGTGACTTCCCATACACTGCAAATTTGGAGCGCTGGGATGGATTTTGGTCGGAGGTGCTGGGTTCCGGAGATTCACGTGGGCTGAAAGTGAGGTCAATCACCTCGGATGCCTGGGAGGCGGGTATTTGGGAGGCGGGTTCGGATTCATGTACTAGCTGAGAGAGTTTGGAGCGAGTAGACGCGACGGGGGATTCTGTATCGAATGCCGAAGGGAGTGAGGCTTGCTTTTGAGACTGGGCATCCTGTTGGGCACTCATTGGTGGGTTGGGAGAGCGCGAATTGGATGCCCGTGGGGAGTCAAGCGGCGAGAAATTGAGGTCCAGGTAGGAGTTCTGCACACTGTCTTTTAACCGCTCAGGACTCTGATTGCCATTATTGACGTCGGCTTCGCTGTTGTCTTCGCTAGTGACAAGTGAATCGCCTAGCTCTGATGGCCCATTTCTTAATCTGTTCAAAAGATCTCTCCGTGATTCAGAAGAACTGTTGGGGGTCGCATTGTCCTTATCTCTCTTCGTATCTCTTTTCACAGAAAGAGACTTAGAATCAGATGCACCATAATTACCATTGTGGTCAATGGTGGACAAAAGTGAGCCAGACTGAGGACCGCTGTCCCCGGAATCGCCAGGCGGCGCGAGATCTTCGTTAACAACCTGCCGCTCATGCTCTTGATGCCCAGCCATGTCTTGGTCCTCAGAATGGACTGCGAAGGATTGATTTGCAGAAGCGTATGACAATACCGAAGGATCCTCACCTCGATTGAATTGAGCAGACGGTGTTTCTCCTCCAATGAGGGTCTGGCCTTCAAGCTCGCGGCTGAGCTTAACACCAGGGGTCATTTGCTGCCAGGATCGAGCGGAGTGGAATCCAGTGAAAGAGGGCGAAGGGATCGGAGGTGTAATGCTGCGCTCATCGGATCCTCTCTGGACTTGGATCTGTGGCACACCTCTGCCAGGAGTCTGTTGGATAGGTTCATCGGGCATACCCGGGGATTCAGGAAGGGATTCAAGACGGCTGACTTCATTTCCGATGGTGGCAAAGGTTGTGTCATCAAGATACATTTCGTCAGACAGGGCTTTTTGGGCATTCGGAGCGGATTCTTGAACTACAGAGACACTTGGGCATGTAAGCATGAGCCTTCAAGCATCGTTTATTTCACTAACATGCTACCTTCTCGGCTTTTGTTCTGGTCCTCAGAATCTGCACCCGACCGCGCTGCAGCTTGGAGAAGCTTCGGATCGCTGAGTTCCGCAAAGGCAAGCTCGCGATAGCCATCATCCTCTCCTTCGTCGTTGGCTAGGTCTGGTACTTCAAACTTGCTGAATTGACGGGGCTCGTCAAACTCGCTGGATGCGGAAGGTGCCTTTCGGTCTCGCTTGGCCAGTAGTACATTAATCACCCCATTGTCTTTGACAGAGCGTACCTCAGCTACGCGGTACTCAGACAGCTGAGGCTGCCAGTTCGTGGCTTTGGATAAGTCTAGCTGTCGGAATGCGATAATTGCGCCGACCCTCGCTTCGCTCTCAGTCAAATCAGGTACAGAACTCATGTCGGCGGGAGGCGGAGGGAGGTCATCGAAGGTGGCCCTTTCAGGTTCAGGAGCATCGTCATAGTTGATCTGATCTCCTTCAGCTTCGCCTGCATAACGGCCTTCATAGTAAGGAGCAGCTTCGCCTTCCCAGTGACCCCCATATTGCGGATCAGCCTCACCTTCGTAATGACTCACGTGATTGGCTTGGTCATCTCCGCCTTGATATTGCTCATCATGGCCGTAGTAAGTCCCAATTTCATCGTATTCCCCTTGCTCCTCATATTCTTCGTAAAACTGGACACGCTGCTTTCTCTTGCGCTTCTTGTTGGGGCCTTTGAGCTCACGGATCAATGCATTGGCTTCTTGATCCCAGCGTTGAACAAAAGGATAAGGAGGCGCGGTCATGTCAACTTGAGGATAGAGACACTCGACAGCACAGATAACAAGTTTGTTTTGCCAATCAACGTCGGATGCATCTTCTTCCTCTTGTATGTGGTCTGTCTCTTCTTGGGTGTCTCGCTTGGAAAATTTGTGTCGGGGCCCGCACGCACTAGCTTTAGCAGCGATCTTTCTCCGCGTTTCTTCTTCGTCTTCCTTGGTCTTCGGGGTTCGCATTCCCAGAGATCCAAAGAGCATGCGTCGTGAGCTAGCTATGTCCAGGGTACGTCGGTTCGAAGGTTCCTGTTCCGGCTGATCCTTGCCGGGCACTTCTTCTAAAATAGGGGTCTCCCCAACGGTAGATGTAGCAGGCGGGAGATTTCCTTTCTCTGATATTTCGCTTACATCAACACCATTACCCAACGCAAGAGCGCGGAGCAGTTTCTGGCGTCTGGCTTCGAACTCTTTCTGCTCCTGTTCCTTTTTCTCTCTCTTTTGTCTCTTGTTGGAAGATTCAGTAGACTCTTGCTCCGGTTCCACAGGTTGTTGGGGTTTTACCAATTGCTCGGGCTTAAGATTTTGTTCCGGAGTATACCAGCCTCCGTGGCGGTCCTCCCACTCCCGCAATGCATCAAAGCCTGCTTGTTGGGGGAGAGCACCTAGCTCCTTGAGCTTGGATAGACGGCGGCGTAGTTTCATGCGGTTGTTACTCTTTTTGGTGCGTATGGACCCTTCGCCAGGAGCACCCACTGAAACCAGCCGTTGCGCCTTTTCTACAGGTAGGCCAGCTTCCTCTTCGGAATCTGAGTCCGAGTCAGATGAGTCAGATTCTTCGGAGCTTGAAGATGAATCTGACTCAAGCGCCTCCCCTGCGGGCTTTACCTCACTTGTAGAGTTAACATCGTCAGATTTATCATTGCAATCTTCCTCAGAATCGCTGTCAGAAGAAGACGTAGATGAATCGGATAAATCAGAAGAATCAGAATCGGAAGTTTCGGCAGCACTATCCTTGATATGTAGGGCCTGCAGAACTTGCGCTGGTTTTGATAGGTCAGGCAAATTCTCATCCTCCTGGTCATCTCCCTTGTTGAACCTCACAGCCTTGGAGATCCTAGGAGGTGAGTCGTCTGCGCGAGAGCGCTTGCTGGAGAGAGACGAGGCAGCTGCAAGTGACCCCTTGGAAGTTGGCCGATTGACTATCGAGGTAGCACGTAGTGGGTGTCCACTAGCATTCCGAGTCTGATTCCTGATATCAACAAATTGAGAAGCTTCTTCGAAGTCATCTTTGAGCGCTTGGAGTTCGCTTTCCAATTCATCCTCCACAATTTCAGGCATGTCAGATACACTCGATTCACTGTCAGATTCCGCGGTGTGGTCAACAGGGTGACGAATAACCGTAGCCAGGGAGTCTTCATGCTCGGCGGGAATTATCGAAAGCTCCTTTCCGAGCCCGGTGTTTTGAGGTGGAAGCCACTCTCCATCACCTTCCTCGTCAGCGTGGGCTCCCTCGGCCACAAACTCTGGAGCGTGCCCCCAGCCAGAAAAGACGGTCCGCCGCTTCTTCCTTGGGGGTATGGTAATTGCAGGACGTGTGGAGGTAGTTCTTTTCAAGAACGGTGACCCGAAAGGCACCCCGTCGATTAGATGCTTACCTTCGGCAGTAATTTGGTGGCGACCACACAGTCTTCTGGTCCGGAGATCTGCTAGTTGAAGGGCGCGGATACTAAAACGCGACACGTTAGTCCACTGTACGATATGAAAATGTTGTCAAATGACATACACAACTTCGTCTCCATCTCGGAGTAAGCCGTCGACCTCCATAAAATGGAGACATTCCGAGCCAGCAACTTCGACAACATAATCTTCCAATCCCCACTGGCCACTGAATTCCGCGTCCAAGATACTAGGCTCCGTTTCCAGCGGCACAACTTCGTTCACATCCTCGAGGAGCTGTGCGACCGTGTACCCACCATTCGAGAAGGCGATGTTCGGGGCGCGAGACGATGCGACAGCCGCGGTTGATGCAGGGCGTTGAGTCCCATATTCGCCTAGCATCGAAGTAGACGAAGTCGTCGTCCAGAGAATGCGCGTGACTGGCAGGCCATGGCGCGAAATAACAAGGTGGAGACGCATGGTGGATGACTAGTCGCGAGCTAAATCATGGACGCGGTGAGCGGACTTTTTCGTGTTGCAATGGGGAGGTTTCGAGTCGAGTATTTGGAGGCAATTTTTGGATGCTGGGTAAATCCAGTTGGCCCAGAGCTGGTCTAACAGATTGGATTAAGATTGAAAGTGAGGATAGATGCCCGTAAGGTTGGACATATGCTCAAGTGGAAGAAGAAAGCGACTGATCAGACATCAACCCGCGTGGATGGTACGCTAACCGTTTTTTGGAATAGCGCATATCATGTTCCATCAACTTGGCTAAGACAGGTCCTGTATCCTGGCGTCGTGGTGTTTGGTTCAGCACGGGTCCTTGAATTTCTGCAATTGTTGCCAGGTGAAAAACACACTGTTTGGTAGTCAATGCATGAACGCTCAAAGGATCTACCCAGTTGGATGGAACGTAAGTGGTATCTGACCGCACAACTGGCGAATGCTCAACAAACCAGGTATTTCCATCAAGCACCTGTCGAAGGAAAATGCTTTCCTCATAAACGGTTAAAAAGCCGTATCTACAGCGAAGTTACAGCATACAATCAACCAGTTGGCCTAGAAGATGCCTGATTTTGATGTTAATTTGAAGGGCGCGTGTGATCTGGTGTGCTGCTACCCAAGGTACTTTGACCTCTCCCAGAACGCGCCAATGATGAGTATGTTGATTCTGTGGATCAAGGTTTGAAATCATGGCCATATCAGGAGACTTGGTATACTGTAATCCGCTAGCCTTAAAGTCTGCAAAGATCGTATTGAGCAACTGAACCTCAAAGACTGCCCCGAGGACTTGTCCTAAATTTTGCTCGATGTGACCATGTACGCCCGCTTCCTCGGCAACCAAAAACTTCTCAGCAGCCAGACTGCACGATATGAGGTCGATCTGAATTGTAGATCTTCTCCATGGTTGCCGCGTGTAGGTTTGTTCTACATCTCTGGCAAAGTTCGGCCACTGACGCAGTGGCCCTCGGAAAAGAATTGGGCTTCGAGTATTTGAACTTGTCCTCTTCTCACTAATTCTGAGAGGGGGGGAGGGGGGATTCGATGATATCACGGGGCGTCAGGGAGCGCGGCATCTTTGCTTTGGTGTGTTCTGCATCAAACGGTGGTAAATATACACAGATAACATCAACACCTCTGGACCCTAAATTCTTACTCACGGTTGCGTAAATAGGATAGTGGTTGTGTGGGATGAAGATGAGTTTGGGCTAAAGATTCTTAAGTGGTACTGTGTTGTTGATAGTGCTTACTTTTGTAGACTACCGTCGGGCTCTACCAGGCAACACACCAACTGCCCCCCTCTTCGAAGCGCCAAACTATCGTTACCAGCGTCTCTCTCCTACAACGCATCTTCTCACCTTCTAAGGTGATGTTTTAGATATCCAAGCTTCGCGGACCCCAAGTTCTCAGAGCCCGTCCCAATTGTTATCGGCGAATCCAATTTCGCGTCGTGGTCAATCGCACTTCAGTGTGCTTTTTTTGAGCTTCTCAGCAGCAAACAGTTCCAGCCCGCTTCCAAGAGTCTATCTCTTAACGAGTGGACTCGCAGTCTTGCCACCTTCCTCTTTACCTTCACTCTGCTATTCACCGTCTCCCACACCCTATATCAATGGCTCTTAACGCTCATATCGTATCAAAGCCTCCATAAAACCTTTGTGGTCCACACTTATAGCACCGTCTTCGAGAAATTCTATAAGTGAGTTGCCCTTAATTGCGATGGCGCCACCACTCGGTGACAGTTCGTGATCAAGTGGCGTACCGCATACACCAAATTCGCCAACGCGTGCGGTCATCAATCCCGGTATTCAGTAGTGGCTCAATGGCCTTCGTCCCTCTCACACTGACTCGTTTGAGCACATGCTTGATCGGCACCTTCTCGGGCTTCATTATTTTGGAGAATCGACGTCTCGCTAGCCAGTCTAGCTAAACACCCAACGATGTCCCTCAAGACGTAAATTTCTCCTACAGAAAACCCAGCAGTGCTCTTCACACACCACTTGCGTAAGACGGTACACACTTCAGAGCAATACCATCTCAATCCCGTAAATGGCAAAACGGCTAACGAAGTCAACCTCTAGGGTGTAGCGGGTTGTCCTTTCGGTGACGGAGTTGTCCTTTTAAACATTCCCTAACAATGTAGAGGATAACTGATAGCTTGGTATAAAAATGAAAGAGATCTATGGTCTCAACACTGTATGAAACTACCAATAGATAGGACATGAAAAAATACTCTGAGTCCTCTAACAAAAATGACAGAATACGCTCTTTTTCCAATCTATGCGGATAAAGCTAACTAAATTTATCATACAATCTATGGGGGCTATACTGTCATGACGGTCCATAGATTTTCCGGGTATTACACCCTGTTTTCAACCATATATTGCACCCATTGGTTTCGACATTAGGGCCTAATATCTATGTCGCTGCAATGACAAACGGATTTTCTGTTTGTCCCTATGATCTTTTGGCCTAGCGGGTTCATGGTCTTAAGTAATCCATCAGGAGTAGCGGCCTGGTTTGCCTACGGGATTACATAGCTAGTTAGTGAGACAGAAATAGGTTCATCTTTCCAGCCATCATCAGCTTGTACCACACGTGGGTTCTAGAGCCAAACGTAATTTGACAGTTGAAAGGACAAGAAAAAGAGAGTATTGGTTCTTCACAGCACTCATAGCAATCTGCATGACCAATACTCCTACCACATGCAGCCGTTCTCATCTTCCCTCCAATCCGCTTCGTTGCGTGAGATACCTGGCATAAGAGTACCGGGGTTCCGGTCTTGGAGGGCAAGTGCAAATTGATAAAAAAGAAGCGATCTCCCCACTCCTGCGGGTTGTCGGGACGATAAGCGAATTGAAACCCGGAGATGTGCCTATGGAGTGTTAGATAATGATCCCCTATTTTGGAATGATAGTTTAGGCATACATTTAACCAGAAGATTCGTCATAGATAATGTTAGATGGAGTAGCCATGAGTGGCATAGACCTGAATTGCAAAAAATTCCTGCTTAATGTTAGCTGGAAGTGACCACAAGAAGGCTTCGTAATCATATGCGAAAACCTGACGAAACTTGTTGCGGATAACTTCTCTCTCGCTAAAGGGTCCAAGCCAGAATTTGATAAGGTCAAAGGAATCGCCTGGAACTTTCTTCCGGACAATGTAGGTAACCAAGCCCCCAGGAACCATGTCGTCTTCCCGTTGCTTGCTTTCCTAATAGCCGAGTAGCCTAGGAACAACCTCACATCCGTGTACCATGAATGACTTCGGGGCGATCAGTTCACGGTTGCCTCGCCCCTCAACCGTCTGCCTAGCCCGGATTTCTGTCTTCGTGATTGTCGAGACCGGCGGGGCGACAAAGAAACTTTGCTGAGGTGGATGAGATGCCAATACCATCAGTGACATCTTTTTGAGTCAACCAGTCTGGATCCTCTTTCAGCTTTTCGACAATTCCCTAGGTCTGTGCAGGGAAGTGTAACGACTCTTCAGCAACAGCACCAAGCGTGATCTCAATCCCTTCGAGGTCAGTGAGGTATTCAAGGGGTGATGTCATGTTGGTTTGGCTATGTGAAGAGAAGAGGAATCTTAATGGCGATTTGTGACTGGTGCTAAGAGAGAGAGAGAGAGAGAGAGAGAGAGAGAGAGAGAGAGAGAGT